GATGTAGAAAAATGATTTTAGAAATCATTCATTTCTGACAGCCTAAATATCAAACCCGTTTTGGATAGAACGATAAATTGCACCCGGGTAAGACGATAAACTGCATCCGCGTCCCGGGTAAGACGATAAACTACATCCGCGTCCCGGGTAAGACGATAAACTACATCCGACAGCAAGGGCTCTTATCAAGAGGTTTTGAGGAGCGTGGAACCATGGTGTTCCCAGGTCCACCCTGACCCGGAATGGTAGCAGCTATGGTCAAATAGTTAACCCCAAAATTGGGGGCGAAACACCATGAAAGTGTAAAAATAGGTTTTAATACAAGCAATACATTTTTGTAAAAGATTATTACCAGCAATAAATATTTGAAGAAAAAAATATTACCCAAATAGATTTTTGGTAAAAAATATTAGCAGCAATACATTTTTGAAGAAAAAAAATTGCTATCAATTCATTTTTGAAATATAAATATAATATAAATAAAATTTTATTGCTGGTAAATAAAAATGTTGTCGGTATTAAATAATCCATTGAGGTTGATATGCCGTAAAACAAACCAAACCAAACCAAATGTCAAGCGATTGGAGGATGACGTAATAACTCATTTGTTTAATTTTATAACTTTCATTTAAAAAGCGCAATAAACAAATTCTTAACAAAATAAGGTCAGTTTTTTTTCGGCACTTAATGATAACATTAAGTGCCTGCCTACGTCATTGAATACAGAAATTAGACATATCGCATTTGGCTGTATTTTTTAGAAACCAAATATTGAATTCAATAATGAACATAGAACAATTCGACAGAGAAGAAACTGCCAAAAATATAAGGATATTTAGAACTATTTAATTCTGATTAGAACTATCCATGTGCTCTTTTCATGGACAGAGAAAAGTAGATTGCCATTGAACTTCTCTAATCTCTATAAACTTTCTTTTGAAACATCTATTTTCTAAAGCTGCTTTTATCATTATACTGCCGGCTTGAATTTCTTACTCTAAACATAGTTACGTAGAACTGAACATGAGAGAACATTTGAATAATTCTCTAATCTTTGTAATAATAATAATAATAATAAATTAATTCGACAAGCTTACTATTTTTCACTTGTTTAAAATATTGGTTATAGTTTTAAGAACAAGTAATTAAACGGATTATTTTGACTTAATTACATAATTCCAGAAAAAATAACTTTCGGTTACATTCGACTAATTCAGAATAATGTCAAATGTCAAACGATAACAATAGTTACTACGAACACTACAGAAAATAACTAATGTTCTCAGACCTAAAATTATAGAATTCTATAACAAATTCAATATTTTAAAAATGATTTACTTTATGTCCGCTTCTTAAAAATGCTATTTCCTAAAGCTGAGGTTACATTAATTTTAAGTCTTCTTTAAATGTAAACACAACGATATTTTTTTCTGCTAGCGTACGACAAAATCTTGTCAAATAAATATAAATTATTTTTGTACAAACAAGATATATTAAAACAAATCATAGACGTTGTTGTAGCATACCTACGGACGATAATGTGTATGTCGCCATTTACATAAATACAGTAGTAAATACTGTATGTTGGTCTGCAGTCGGAGATTCGTCTCCGGCTGTGCTGATCAAACTCTCTGCCTCCGAGCAGAGGATCCCCAGACGAGACTATGTCGAAGGGAAGAGTCTCGTCTCGGGAAACGGAATTTTTGACCGAGTCTACGGGCTCGGATACCCCACATTAAATTCGGCCTTGTGCCACATCTGACTACTACTTCTACGCGCCGCTGGCGAATCTTATATGTGTTATTCGTGGCCTCGTTCATTACTAACCTTCGAGGTTAAAACGGACGTAAACATAGTTTATATATGCCAATATGAAAAATCTGAATTAAAAATCAAAATCAGATGCATATTTCACAAAATAAAATAAAAATGTGCTTTTAAAAATTAGATGTTACTGCTTATATTGTAACACATTTGGTTCGCAAAATATATAAAAAGGTGATTGTGTTCATCTTAACAATCTGAGCTATTTTGTTCAACTGATATAATATGGGAACGCACTGACAAAATTTTGCTTTAGGTGAATTTATAAAAACAGACTTGTTGGAAAAAATTAAAATAATGTAATCAAAGTAAATTTTTTACTAATCTTCACCCCGTAAAAGGCCCAATAGCCACTCAAGTTAGGGGATTAAAAGAGCAGGTTGCTGTGTGAGGGGTAAGAGTAAGAGGTAAAAGGCGCAGTTTATACGGATATGTGGGAAAAATAACGTTTAACTTTAGACTTGTAGAGGTTAAAATTCAAGTTGTCAGGAAAGCATTCCCCTGGGAGTCGGTTGCAGAAAATAGCCGTTTATTGGAAGAAGTTGTTATCCCTAATGCAATAAAAAGGGGATGATGGTGGTTCACCTCAGTGTACGCGGCGTAGAAGTATGAATCCATCACTTATTCGCCATCTATGGGTTAAATAGCAGAAAAGACGGGGTCATATAGCCTTGGCTGGCTACCAGTCTACCGCAGAAAGAAACGGCAACCTACTGCAGGGAAATATGCCTAGTCAGGTATATTTACCTGGCCTCCCAACCAAGGCCTAAGTATGCGTATTCATAAAGGCAAAGGACAAAAATTGTTTTTTTTTTTGCCCAGCTCACGGTCTCGCTGATATCGGTATTACATCGACCCAAGCTCTTTTGTTCAATAAGGAAGGTGCTGTCGCAGGGTTGGAATCTCCGGGGCTGAGCAACTTCTCCCACCTAAAATCAGGAGAATTATAGCTCTATTTAGAGCACTGGGACTTTAACCACGTCTTAGTAAAGTCTCATTGACGATAGTTAACTCCTGATCGCCCAAGCGTGTAGCACGTATGGCACTGATTGAGGTTCATCTTGGCTGCTTATGTCTCAGCTTCGACATTTTACTGGCACATAGCTCTAATGACAGATCAGTGTACCAGCCAAAATAAAGTTAAAAAATGCCGATTTACTATTGTTGATTTACTGATAATTCCAAGATCCAAGCAGATTATGAAGAGACGGGAAAATTACGTTATAAATAAAGAAAATAGTGCTGAACTGTTACGTAATATCAGTCCTCATATATAGCAGTGAAGGCTAGACGATCTCATCACACATGAAGAGACTTGAGGCAACAGAAATGTGGCTCAACAGAAGGATGGTGAGAATACCATGGACTGAACATGAGAGCAAGGAGAAAGTTTCAGAGAAAAGGAGACATATATTTAACATCAGGAGACAACTGAAATTTCTAAGGCACATAATGAAGAAAGAGGGCTTGGAAAATTTGACACTCACAAGACAGATTGAAGGCAAAACGATCAGAGGAGTACAGGGAACTTGATTAAATAGAAGAATAGAGATTGGGAGAGATAACAAAAAGACAAACTTTATTAAGAGCTCGAAAGTAAAGGAAATCGTGGAGAATCATGATCCCCTACGTGATTTGAAAAAAGAAAGTGATTTGTTGCTGAAATACTCATAGGCCTATCATCCGATGGTCAGCACGTACATACACACACAAGTATACACACATACACACAGATATACAGGCACATACAGAGCGCTATACAGACACACGCACATGTATAGGCATAAAAGGCACAAGGACGCACCCGCTGACACTACCAGATCACACACATATGCACACGTATACACAACACACATAAAAACACGTATACACAGACAAACATAAGAACACGTATACAAAGGCACACATAAGCACACGTATACACGGACACACATAAGAACACGTATACACAGACACACAGTTACATGTTGAGACATTGATACACACAGAATACCAACACAGTGAAATACAGACACACACACAGAATACCAACACGTACACACCGAAAGAAAAATACAGACACACATACAGCGACATACAGACATACAAAGATATAGTACACACTCACACGCACACACATACAAAGACATACAGAAGCACACACGTACATAAAGACACGTGGACACACACAGATATACAGGTACAGATATATAGTCATACGTACTGGCACACAGATATAGACACACAGCCACCTATGTAGACACATACACGTAATTCTTCTTTATCTGTGTGCCGTGTCCTTTCAGGGTGTGGGCGATAATAGCTCTCCACAGCATCCTATCCTTGTAGCTCTTATCAATATGTGTGTTTTAATATCACTTCCACTTCCCGTTCTTCCAACCATTCGCATAATTTTGTCAGCTATTGACACACACGCAGACATACGGACACACACACAAGCACACGCACAAATATACAGGCATACCCACACTCACAGGCACCCCCACAATGATATAAATATACACACACACACACACACACACAGAAGGATTATAAACAACGAAATACAGCAGCACACAAACACACAGGAACACACGCAGGTATACAATCAAACATACATACACATAGACACACGTACATACAGATACACACACACAGTGGCATGCAAACACACAGAGAAACATATATAGCACTTGCAGACACATATATACAGACATACAGGCATACACAATCACACACAGACAATGAAAACACACAGAGACACACAGATATAGACACACAAAGACACCCAAAGCCACACACGCACACAGACACACAGGTATACAGATACACACAGACATATACTGATGCACAGCGTATTCCAATTGTAATCAGGAAGTTCAACTCAGAAAGCTTTTCTCCTTGAACTGCTACACAGTGGAACATTGTTTGAGTGGTTGATTTTATTTTTTACGGACTATCAACCTTTTTAAGGTTACTTAAAGCCAAAGTATATTTTTAGATGATAAGAAGTTTTGAAGGATAATAATGATTATCTTATACAAGTCTTACTATTTAACCCATGGCTGGGAGGAGAAGATGTGGTACATACCTTTCCCAATGGTATTTTCAAGTAATTGAATATAACGAACCCGATTGGAATTCGAACTCGGCTCTCATTCGGAGCCTTTATCCATTACATCACCCACACATGCAAGCTTACAGCACTTGGTATTCCCGATTGGTCACCCATTTAGATACTGACCAGGTTCAACGCTGCTTAACTTCGGTGACCGAAAGAGAACCAGGGTTTCAACATGATATGTCTATAAGCCACATTGTGTAACAAACTCCCGCCTGAATGATTCTTTAAATATAATCTCTTCATGTCAAAGGTCAGCCTTCCTTATGCTGATAATCATCACTTCCTCCTACCTCCTCTTACATTCTTATTACACTCCTCAGTCTGTAACCTTCTACCATGAGTGGCTCTTGAACCTTGTTTTGGGGGAACATTATTTAAAAAATATAATAAAGCATAAACATATACAGAAACAGAGAGAAAGAAACATACACACACACACACTAAATATATAAGTTCAGAAGATTAAATGCATGCCAGTAATACATACAAATTAAAACTGAAAATTGTCTTCAGGTGTGCGTAACAACCCCATAATAGTCTCCTCTTCCGAAAAAAAAAATTCCGATATTTTCTGTAAATTTCATTTTACAAATTAAGAGACAATGAATGAGAAAATATCAAACAATGTCGAATAAACAGCAACTCGACTGCGCATGCGTCTTAAAACAGCACCCATTAAAATTCAAAAATTCTATGAATGTAGTTACTCCTCCCTACCACTTAATGAAGTTTTCGAATTTTCAACTTGGGAATCGCTTCGATTTTTGGTTATTAAATAAAAAAAAGCTTCCGACAAAATATATTTCAGTAGCAGGAGTTAATTTTAAAGGGAACTAATTATAGACTTGCAAACACTATTCATTTTCTTACCTATTTACTTGTACACCAAAGGAAAAAAAATATGAAAACGCATGCGCACACAAGCGTTTCCGCTTTTCTGATGAGATCAAAGAAGAGTGAAAATTTTCTAATTCTTAATACCGCTCAAAGTGTTCATATGTGCACTCGTTTTATTGATGCGCAATTTACTTAATTATCAACGGCAGTAGAAGACGATTGGTTCATTTGACATTAGTTGCTGTACGAGATTGCCAAAGGGAACCTCGCGTTAGTACGGCGAGAGTGAAGGGATGTAAATCATTTAGGCAACTCATTTGAGTTAAATGATATATATATATATATATATATGAATATTGTATATTTAGGCAGTAATCCTTTTTTTATACATATTTTATTGAATACGACAGACAATTTTTTTATTCAGTTTTTTTGTGTTTTTACGATTTTTATAAGGTCTAAGAGTGTGTAGAAACTGTGGTGATTATTGACATTACGACAGGTTTTAACACTTATAAAATATTCCTTCCTCGTCCATTATTTACATTATTCGGACTATTGTCCTCATCTTTGTCGCCATATTTATTACAACGTTTTGGCCGTTGTACGCTCCGGCCTTCTTCAGGTGGTTGGAATGTCGAACTGGACCCTTTATTTCGCTCACTGGGGTAGACTGTTCTACTTCCACGTGCCATGTTTAATGGATGTTAGTTATCAGTATATCTCCTGTTAATTCCCCTCTCCAAGTTCTCCACTGCCTTAACCAGGTATTGAACTCACACTCTTTGGGTCCTGTCACTGGATCTTTCCAACGCCTTTATCTACTGTACCATGTGGAGTTAAGGCAGTGGAGAACTTTCAGAGGGAAATTCACAGGAGATAACTGATAACTGACATCCATTAAACATGGCACGTGGAACTAGAACAGTCTACCCCAGTGAGCGAAATAAAGGGTTCAGTTCGACATTCCAACCATCTGAAGAAGGCCGGAGTGTACAACGGCCGAAACGTTGTAATAAATATGACGACAAAGATGAGGACAATAGTACGAATAATGCAAATAATGTACATAATACCTCATCTCAGAAATATAGACAGATCCTTCCCCGTCGTATTCAAGGAAATATATATGTATATATTAAAGAAACCAAGTACACAAAAAGCACAAAATAGACGAAAAAAAAGTTTCCCATATCGATTAAAAACAAATAAAACTCATGAGTTATTACAAAGACTAAAAAGATATGTATAAAAATGATATACACTTCAACAAACCAATATTATCTATAAATTCACTTGTATACTTAAATAATAATAATGATTAAAACAACACATGCATGTACGTAACTACTAATAATACAAATATACTGACATAGAAACTGTAAAAATGACTACAAATACTAGAAGCCTTAACTATAAAAAAATAGCCCACAATCAATAAGATTTAACACAATTTAGTAAAAAAATCAAATTAAATATATTGTATATTTCATATATTTCACAAATAAAAAAAATCACAAAGCACAAACCGACGCGTGAAGATACGATATTTGAACAAAAAATAGCATAACCTCATCGACACGACACATACATAGCTCTAAAGAAACCCATTGCATGCAGGTAGACCAAAGTCTAAAACTCAAAAATACTCTTTGATAATAGCTTACGAAAGCGCTCAGAAGACATTGGGCAATTTATGTTTAAATTTTCCCGGAAATCAGACAAACGGTCCAAACTGTAGGTAAATTAAATTAAAAAAAAAAAAAAAAAAAAAAAACTTAAACAAAGTACTTAAGAACATCTGTTAGACTTGAACCAAATCTCCATATATGGGGAATACAATTCCGACGTTTGAGGGTAAGATAACTCAGTTTTCAGAACTGAATCGGCGCACTACACACACAAATTGTTTGCTTATCGTGGTGAAGGCCTGTGTAGGGCTGTAGAGCCAGCCACACTTTGCAAATGGGCTAATACCAGAGAACTGGTACACGAAGTTTACAAACAGACCTCCTCAGGTTTGAATTCAGAGTTTTCCTTTGCCTAAGTTGACTGCCAACTAAAACTAGAGAGCCTAGTCTATTATTTAACCCAGAGAGGCGGGGAAAGAAATGAATTCATACCTAACACAAGGGGATTTGTGCGAAAGTAAAGACAAAGACATCGGCTGGAATTTGAATTGGGGATGCTTAGCCTACTTTGTGAGCCGATAAACAAGCACACGCACACACACACACACACGCACACACACGCACACACACACACACACACACACACACACACACACACACACACACACACACACACACGCACACACACACACACACACACACACACACACACACACACACACACACGCACACACACACACACACACACACACACACACACACACACACACACACACACACACACACACACACACACACACACATATATATATATATATATGTGAAAAATTTCTCGGATTTAACCAGTAGAAAAAGACAATATGTATAAAAGTAAAACACAATAGGAAAACTATTATTAGCCGACGCGTTTCGTCCAGTGTGGACTTTTTCAAGGCAAAAACGCAATGAATTTATTAAAAACAAAGTAACTACTAACAACAAACAAAATGTCCTTTGAAACTAGAAGAAATTTAGGAAACGCAATTATATTCATACGTAATTTTCAGTTGACAATATGAATACAATAGCGTTTTCTAAATTTCTTCTAGTTGCTAAGGACATTTTGTTTGTTGTTCATAGTTACTTTGTTTTTAAAAAATTCATTTCGTTTTTGACTTCAAAAAGTCCACATTATACGAAGCGTGTCGACTAATAATACAGTTTTACAGTTGTCTTTTACCTTCACACACACACACACACACACACACACACACACACATATATATATATATATATATATACAGAGAAAGAGAGAGATGGGATAACGATATATAAATTTTTATATATCAAGAACAATATTGAGGGGAAAGTGTATGACAAAGTGGAAATCTTTTTTTTGTGTGACAGAATTCATCCGTCTAAATTTGTTATGTTGATGCGACTACACATGCGCACGAGCAAGGGATGCTGGGAATTTAAAATTTTTATTTATTTATTTATTTTTTGTATATAATCCAGCTGATTTCATTTAGATCCTTTTTTTTCTTGTTTTCATCACTTTTGTTATCAGATATCTCACACTGTGATAATAAAAGATCTGCTAGGAATGGTGAACTGTTTGTTGCATGTTTGATTTTTGTCAAGGTGACTCACTACTGAGGTCTTTCTAGAAGAATATATCAAACTTTGTAAATAACCGTATTCTCTTGTTCATCTTACAATACGAATAGGTAAAAATTCATAGTATTGAGTGAAAATAGACAGAAAATGGTAAAGAAAAAAAGATAACAATAAAAACAAAAATACATTTATACACAGTAGCGTGGCAATATAGCTTGGATCCGAAATTCTTTGGCTCTGCAAGAAATCTTGTTCTACAAGAAGCGAATGGCTTTGTGCCGCGAGATAATCACATCAGTTCAATCAGTAGAAAAAGAGTTTGACAAAACCTTACGTCTCGTTCATCTTTCTTTTCATTATATGTGAATCGTAGTAGGCATCAATTTTACGAGTGACTCGTTCTAACTCAAGACCGTTTGTCAATCAGCCAAGCTATAAAACTCAATTGATTCGCATACATAATGCTAACGAAGGTTTTGAGATAAAGCATTTTCTTTATTCCATATAAAAATATATCATCACGCAATCTCAGGTATCTTTAAGCATTAAAATGAATGAGTCAACGATGAAGAGGTAATGTAAATAGAGAAACAAAACTCCGGAATAAGATTAGAAATAAATTAATTTCTGCTTGGCTATCAGCAGAAACTTTATGAAAACAATCGGAAAATGCATTGAATATTACACAACAGAGAAAGAGTAAAGTATGAAGTATGTTCCAACAATATATGCAAATAAATAAAATAATAATAATTATAAAAGTAATTGTTCTGGAGACATTAAATTTTGGTCAAACCGGCATCACATTTATGTAGAATGTGCTAATAAATTAAGAAGCGTCTCCCCTTCCGCTTGAACTATTCACTGCTATATTATATGGAATATCATATAATCCAAGGTTTTGAGGAATCGGAGAGCCGAGTTCGAATTCCAGTCAAATCCGTTACATTCACTTACGTGCTAATAACCTTGGGAAAAGTATGAATCATCTTCTTTTCCCCCCAGCTATGGATAAATAGCAGGACAAACCGGATTCTATAACCTTGGATAGCAACTGGTCTACCGCAGAAAGAAATAGCAATTTACTGCGGGAAAAAGCTGCCTCGTCAGTCA